GGTGATGCAGTCAGTCAGGGAGCTTTTGAGATGGTTTGGGGATCGAGGATGGAAGCAAGTCAGGGTGTCGAGGAGAGGAAAGCTCTGCGCTTTGAGCAGGAGGGTTAAGTATGGGGAAGGATTTGTGACCATTACATTGGAACAAATTATGGAGGTCGTGCGGTTCGATCTGATGAACACTTTCGTCAGATGCGGGGAACTGATTGGAAGACAGGTGTTCGGGATCCCTATGGGAAAATCGACAAGCCCGGTGCTGGCGTCGATTACTTGTGCAGTGGCGGAATTCAAGTTCCTATCGGAATTGGGTACGGATCGGGCATTGGTATGCGGGGTACGAATTATGGATGATGTCTCGATCATTGTCGGCCACAGGCATTTGGCTGAGGATGTGGCACGAGCGACCAGGATTCTGGACGAATTCGAAGGTATCTACGACCACCATCTGCAGCTCGTGTGAAAGGATGAGCGATACAACACATGACAGTTTATCGGAGACGACGTATACGTGGCAGCAAACCCAGTACAAGTGCATTTTGTACCCAAGATGAAGAACACGGAAGTTCTGAGGGAGTCCGGGACGCTGCATTTCCAGACCATGCAGGGTTTTTCATCATTCTCAGAGAAGAGGACCAAGAAGGCGGTGGTTTCCGCCACACTGCGTAGACTGTGGGAGCAGGCCACCAGTAAGGCGCTGGCCATTGGCCCTATCGCATATGCTATCTGGGAGACACACCTCCGGGGATACCTCCCCGGAGGTCTCTCTCGACGCTTTGGCCAGATTGGCTAAAGCTGCGGATGTAGCTACGCTGAGAACCCTGTGGAAGGCATTCACGAATCTGCAAAGGGGAGTCGGGAGGCCGACAAGGCGGGCAGTGTGGTTGGAGGTTTTTATTCATTTTTTTGGGGTTTTCCAGATAGAAACAGAATGACATAATGTTGGGTCCTGTTCTTGCGACACCCGGATGACGTAATGTCCGTGAATCGGCAGGGAAAAAAATTGTCTTTATAATAGTAGTAGCTCTGGTACGGGGCGGGACGGGACGATACGGTAGAAGGTCCCAAATTTTTCTTTTTTCGGCGAGCGGGGGATTTTTCGTTTTTCTTTTCCTTTTATTTTTCGCTTTTGTTTTCCTTTTCTTTTCGTTTTCGTTGTTTCTTTTTGTCGATCTGTTCTGCCATATATCCGGAGTTCCTCCGGGGAGGGTAAAAACAGGTAGGGAAAAAGGAAAGAAGGAGAAAAGTTTTTTCGGACCACTGCGCAGCCCGGTCCGCTACGGTCCGCTACGGTCCACTACGGCTACATACGGAAAAGTGGATGTTCGCTGTGGAGAAGTCAATTATCATACTATTTGAGAAGCAGGTAGGATGAGCGCACGGGGAGTGGCACTGTTCTTGATGGGTAGGAAGGTAAGTAAGCCTAAGGATGCATTTTTTCGAAGGTGACACGTGTGCTCTCAGGGACGGATAGGGAAGGATCAGAGGGTGGGATGATCGGAGCTTATTCGAGGGAACTGACATTTCGTTAAAACTGACATTTTTTTCTAAATTCACGAAAGTGGACTTAGTCAAAGTTCCATTACTCATCGGGTGAGAAAGTGGTTATCTCACTTTGTTCATCTGATGTACCTCAACGTAAAGTACCGTTAACATATGGTCAGATCATCGGGAGTCGCCGCGACACCCGATGATCTGATCATCCGACGTCATGGGGACAAAAAAACACTMAAAATGTTGTTTTTTGGTACGCTCAATTTCGTGAATTTAAAAAAAAATGTCAGTTTTAACRAAATGTCAGTTAGGGGCGTTTKGATGGCTGGCCTGACTTAGGATTGGCACGGGTGTGGARCTTCTGTGGTTGGTGCATATGATTACGGAAGTAATTAATCACCGACAGAAGGTACATCTGAGGAGTTGACGTTCTTGAGCCAAGTACAGAGTGCAGGCGCTTGGACCGTTGCGTAGAGTGGTGAGTGCACGCTAGTGTAGAAAGTATAGATACGAGATGGCATGGCTGGTCGCCGTCTCTTTCGGCAGAAGGATTTCGATCCACCTTCCTGATGAGGATCCGTTGCGGAACTGACGAAACCGGTCGGGGGACCGCTTTGCCTTCAGGTGTTATCCTGATCTTTGGGGTGTGCTGATCT